TAGTGAGGCGGAGACCCTACTTGATGATGAGGAGGTTGATCGCACTTGGCAGCCTCGTCGTCATCAGGCAATTTCTTCCGCATCATCAGGAGAAGAGGGTGGCAGCTTGGCAGCGAGCAAAACAGTCGGTGGGTTGCCCAGGAGACAGCAGCAGGGTCGCAGCAGTGTGTCAGTGGAGCCAAACGGCCACGGAGTAGAGCACCAGCTCCACTGCAGCCTACCACCACGGCCAGTAGTGGTGCCGGTGTGCACGGAGGAAGCAGCAGTCAGCCAGTGAGGAGTATCGGGGGCAAAGTTTCCTACTCGGCGGTGTGGCAATTTTTTGTCAAGCCGCCCGAGGAAGTAAACGTAGCCGTATGTCGACTATGTGGCCAGAAAGTCAAGCGTGGCCAGGGGGCCCATGTTGGGACTACAGCGTTGCGGCAGCATATGCAGCGTCGCCATTTGGTGGCCTGGGAAAACCGTGATAAAGATACGGCGGTTCTGCCCGCCCCAGCCCCCGCTCCATCACCCGCTCCGTTACTTGCTCCGTCACCCGACGTCAATCGCCCTCCATCAGCCAGTCAAGGCTCCAACACCTCTGCTGAGGGGAGTTGTCGCTCGTTGGCATCTTCCGCTCGTTCAGATGCTCCTTCTCCTGCTACTCCTCTTCACGGATTCCGTCAGCAGCAGTCTTTCTTGGAATCCGTTTCCAAGAGACAACAGTTTGCGAGCACGCACCCGACGGTGCAAAAGCTGAACGTCCTCCTGTCCAAGTTGCTGGTGCTGCAGTCCCTCCCTTTCCAAGTGGTGGACTCAGCACCTTTCCGAGAAATGATGGCTTGTGCCGCGCCGCGGTGGAGAGTGCCAAGCCGTCATTTCTTCGCCAAAAAGGCAGTGCCAGCCCTGCATTCACATGTAGAAGAGATGGTGGGCCAGTCTTTGAGCATGTCGGTCTCTGCCAAAGTGCACGGCAGCGCCGACGTGTGGAGCTGTAACTACGGTCAGGGACAGTACATGTCATTTACGGCCCACTGGGTGAACGTGGTGCCGTCACAGCCGCACCAGCAACTTGGACAGGTCACGCCGCTTTTGCCTCCACGTTTGCACGTCCTTGGTCCGGCAAAGATGTCCGCCTCTACCACCTCTTCTTCCGCCGTGTCCTCAGCCGCCACCCCCGTGCCAAGTCCATTACCCGACCGGCATATCACATGTGCAGGGCGCAACGGTGTCACGCTGTGCTGCACCTGGTATGCCTTGGCGAACGTAGTCACACAGGGGAGGAACTTCTCAGTGTAATGAACAGAGAAATCGACAGATGGCTGTCTCCGCGCAAACTGAAAATCGGAACCATGTTGACCGACAACGGAAAGAACATGGTGTCTGCTCTGCGTCAAGGAAGGTTGTGCCATGCGCCATGCATGGCTCACGTGTTCAATCTGGTTGTCAAGCGGTTCCTAAAATCCACCATCCCACTGCAAGACATCCTTAAAATGTCACGTAAACTTTGCATGCATTTCAGCCATTCCTACACCGCAAAGCACACCCTCCTTGAGCTGCAGCGGCAGAACGGAATTGCACAGCATCGCCTGATCTGCGACGTTGCAACAAGGTGGAATTCAACCCTACACATGTTAGACCGCCTTTACGAACAGCGAAAGGCCATCACCGATTTCCTGATGTTACAAGCGGATAAAGGTACTCCCCTGTGTAACTTTGATGTCAGCCATTGGCAGCTCATGCGTGACACCTGCCGCTTGCTCAGGCCCTTTGAGGAGGCCACGCTATTCGTGAGTCGGCAGGACTATGGGATGAACGACGTCATTCCTCTGTTGCACGTCCTGGAACAAATGCTGTTAACAATGGCTGGTCAGGGTGCGGTAGACGTGGCGCACAGATCTCAACGCCACATGACCCCTGTGGGGGCAGGACAGGAAGAAGAGGAGGAGGTAGAGGAGGACATTTGTGCTCAGGAATTATTGAGTGAAATGGGTGGTTTTTCCACACTCAGCGGACAGGAGTGGAGGAGCAGGAGCATCTGGTAGAGGAGGAGGAGGAGGAGACAGAGGACCCAGACGCACCGTGGCAGTATGCTGTGGAGATGGAGGCAGGGAGTCCCTCGCATTCCTTGGCACAAATGGCCCATAGCATGCTCGGTTGCTTGCGTAGCGACAGCCGAATAATAAATAACATCAGACAGAGGGATGACTTTTGGCTGTCCACCTTGTTGGACCCTCGCTACCGTTCAAAAATGGTGGCCTTTTTCACACCTGCTGAGAGGGAGGCCAAAATAACGTACTATAAAAACCACCTATGTAGTCAGTTGGTCTCTGCCTTTGTGCGCCAACGTCCATCCTCAGACACTGTGGGCCCTGTGCGCTCGCGTTCCGCTGCCATGGCAGCAGGGGAGGGGTGGGGTGGTAGGAGCAGTGGCAGCTCCACCAGCAGCGGCTGCCTCAGTCTGCAGTCGATGATGAGTAGCTTTCTTCACCAGCGCAGTGAGGAAACTACTAACCAGCCGCAGCAGCAGCAGCAGCAGCAGCATCAGGTGGACCTGGAGCAGGACCTCAAACAACAGGCTTGGGCCTACTTGGACAGCACCCTGCCAACCGAGGTAGACAATCCCCTTGACTACTGGGCAACGAAACTTGACCTTTGGCCCCAACTAGCTGAATTTGCCCTTGAAAGGCTGTCATGCCCGGCCCAGTAGCGTGGCATCGGAGCGCGTGTTTAGTGCGGCAGGAGGTATTGTAACTCCGCGGAGGACACGACTGTCCACCCAAAGTGTGGAGAGACTCACGTTTGTGAAAATGAATCAGGCGTGGATTAGTCTGGATTTCAAACCACCAGTTCCTGACACAACTGACTAAATCCGCCATGAATCATGCCTCAAACATGTGCCACTTTCAGGTCTCCTCACACACTGCTGGTGTGTTCCATTTTTTGTCATAGGGTGCTGGCAGATTACGGGCCTCCCATAGCTGCTGCCAGGCCCCTAATCTGCCATGGGCCCCTATATACCGCCTCCTCATGCTGCTGCCAAGTCCAGAGTCTCTCATGGGTCCCTGTACGGCCTCCCATTGCTGCTGTCTCCATCGCCACACTCTGCCATGTGCCACTTTCAGGTCTCCTCACACACTGCTGGTGTGTTGAAATTTTTTGACATAGGGTGCTGGCAGATTACGGGCCTCCCATAGCTGCTGCCAGGCCCCTAATCTGCCATGGGCCCCTATATACCGCCTCCTCATGCTGCTGCCAGGTCCAGAGTCTCTCATGGGTCCCTGTACGGCCTCCCATTGCTGCTGTCTCCATCGCCACACTCTGCCATGTGCCACTTTCAGGTCTCCTCACACACTGCTGGTGTGTTGAATTTTTTGACATAGGGTGCTGGCAGATTACGGGCCTCCTATAGCTGCTGCCAGGCCCCTAATCTGCCATGGCCCCTATATACCGCCTCCTCATGCTGCTGCCAAGTCCAGAGTCTGTCATGGGTCCCTGTACGGCCTCCCATTGCTGCTGTCTCCATCGCCACACTCTGCCATGTGCCACTTTCAGGTCTCCTCACACTGCTGGTGTGTTGAATTTTTTGACATAGGGTGCTGGCAGATTACGGGCCTCCCATAGCTGCTGCCAGGCCCCTAATCTGCCATAGGCCCCTATATACCGCCTCCTCATGCTGCTGCCAAGTCCCGAGTCTCTCATGGGTCCCTGTACGGCCTCCCATTGCTGCTGTCTCCATCGCCACACTCTGCCATGTGCCACTTTCAGGTCTCCTCACACACTGCTGGTGTGTTGAATTTTTTGACATAGGGTGCTGGCAGATTACGGGCCTCCCATAGCTGCTGCCAGGCCCCTAATCTGCCATGGCCCCTATATACCGCCTCCTCATGCTGCTGCCAAGTCCAGAGTCTGTCATGGGTCCCTGTACGGCCTCCCATTGCTGCTGTCTCCATCGCCACACTCTGCCATGTGCCACTTTCAGGTCTCCTCACACTGCTGGTGTGTGTTGAATTTTTTGACATAGGGTGCTGGCAGATTACGGGCCTCCCATAGCTGCTGCCAGGCCCCTAATCTGCCATAGGCCCCTATATACCGCCTCCTCATGCTGCTGCCAAGGTCCAGAGTCTCTCATGGGTCCCTGTACGGCCTCCCATTGCTGCTGTCTCCATCGCCACACTCTGCCATGTGCCATGTGCCACTTTCAGGTCTCCTCACACACTGCTGGTGTGTTGAATTTTTTGACATAGGGTGCTGGCAGATTACGGGCCTCCTATAGCTGCTGCCAGGCCCCTAATCTGCCATGGCCCCTATATACCGCCTCCTCATGCTGCTGCCAAGTCCAGAGTCTGTCATGGGTCCCTGTACGGCCTCCCATGCTGTCTCCATCGCCACACTCTGCCATGTGCCACTTTCAGGTCTCCTCACACACTGCTGGTGTGTTGAATTTTTTGACATAGGGTGCTGGCAGATTACGGGCCTCCCATAGCTGCTGCCAGGCCCCTAATCTAATCTGCCATAGGCCCCTATATACCGCCTCCTCATGCTGCTGCCAGGTCCAGAGTCTCTCATGGGTCCCTGTACGGCCTCCCATTGCTGCTGTCTCCATCGCCACACTCTGCCATGTGCCACTTTCAGGTCTCCTCACACACTGCTGGTGTGTTGATTTTTTGACATAGGGTGCTGGCAGATTACGGGCCTCCCATAGCTGCTGCCAGGCCCCTAATCTGCCATAGGGCCCCTATATACCCGCCTCCTCATGCTGCTGCCAAGTCCAGAGTCTCTCATGGGTCCCTGTACGGCCTCCCATTGCTGCTGTCTCCATCGCCACACTCTGCCATGTGCCACTTTCAGGTCTCCTCACACTGCTGGTGTGTGTTGAATTTTTTGACATAGGGTGCTGGCAGATTACGGGCCTCCTATAGCTGCTGCCAGGCCCCTAATCTGCCATAGGCCCCTATACCGCCTCCTCATGCTGCTGCCAAGTCCAGAGTCTCTCATGGGTCCCTGTACGGCCTCCCATTGCTGCTGTCTCCATCGCCACACTCTGCCATGTGCCACTTTCAGGTCTCCTCACACACTGCTGGTGTGTTGAATTTTTTGACATAGGGTGCTGGCAGATTACGGGCCTCCCATAGCTGCTGCCAGGCCCCTAATCTGCCATGGGCCCTATACCGACTCCTCATGCTGTGACGTTGCAACAAGGTGGAATTCAACCCTACATATGTTAGACCGCCTTTACGAACAGCAAAAGGCCATCACAGATTTCCTGATGTTAAAAGCGGATAAAGGTACTCCCTGTGTAACTTAGATGTCAGCCATTGGCAGCTCATGCGTGACACCTGCGCTTGCTCAGGCCCTTTGAGGAGGCCACGCTATTCGTGAGTCGGCAGGACTATGGGATGAACGACGTCATTCCTCTGTTGCACGTCCTGGAACAAATGCTGTTAACAATGGCTGGTCAGGGTGCGGTAGACGTGGCGCACAGATCTCAACGCCACATGACCCCTGTGGGGGCAGGACAGGAAGAAGAGGAGGAGGTAGAGGAGGACATTGGTGCATAGGGTGGAATTATTGAGTGAAATGGGTGGTTTTTCCACTCAGCGGACAGGAGTGGAGGAGCAGGAGCATCTGGTAGAGGAGGAGGAAGAGGAGACAGAGGACCCAGACGCACCGTGGCAGTATGCTGTGGAGATGGAGGCAGGGAGTCCCCTCGCATTCCTTGGCACAAATGGCCCATAGCATGCTCGCCTTGCTTGCGTAGCGACAGCCGAATAATAACCATCAGACAGAGGGATGACTTTTGGCTGTCCACCTTGTTGGACCCTCGCTACCGTTCAAAAATGGTGGCCTTTTTCACACCTGCTGAGAGGGAGGCCAAAATAACGTACTATAAAAAACCACCTATGTAGTCAGCTGGTCTGCCTGTCTGCTGCCAACGTCCATCCTCAGACACTGTGGGCCCTGTGCGCTCGCGTTCCGCTGCCATGGCAGCAGGGGAGGGGTGGGGTGGTAGGAGCAGTGGGCAGCTCCACCAGCAGCTGCTGCCTCAGTCTGCAGTCGATGATGAGTAGCTTTCTTCACCAGCGCAGTGAGGAAACTACTAACCAGCCGCCGCAGCAGCAGCAGCAGCAGCATCAGGTGGACCTGGAGCAGGTCAAACAACAGGCTTAGGCCTACTTGGGACAGCACCCTGCCAACCGAGGTAGACAATCCCCTTGACTACTGGGCAACGAAACTTGACCTTTGGCCCCAACTAGCTGAATTTGCCCTTGAAAGGCTGTCATGCCCGGCCAGTAGCGTGGCATCGGAGCGCGTGTTTTTGCGGCAGGAGGTATTGGCAACTCCGGGGAGGACACGACTGTCCAGGCCCAAATGTGGAGAGACTCACGTTTGTGAAAATGAATCAGGCGTGGATTAGTCTGGATTTCAAACCACCAGTTCCTGACCCTGACTACGGCCTCCATGCTGCTGTCATGCCCAAACATGTGCCACTTTCAGGTCTCCTCACACTGCTGGTGTGTTCCATTTTTTGTCATAGGGTGCTGGCAGATTACGGGCCTCCCATAGCTGCTGCCAGGCCCCTAATCTGCCATGGGCCCCTATATACCGCCTCCTCATGCTGCTGCCAAGTCCAGAGTCTCTCATGGGTCCCTGTACGGCCTCCCATTGCTGCTGTCTCCATCGCCACACTCTGCCATGTGCCACTTTCAGGTCTCCTCACACTGCTGGTGTGTTCCATTTTTTGTCATAGGGTGCTGGCAGATTACGGGCCTCCCATAGCTGCTGCCAGGCCCCTAATCTGCCATGGGCCCCTATATACCGCCTCCTCATGCTGCTGCCAGGTCCAGAGTCTCTCATGGGTCCCTGTACGGCCTCCCATTGCTGCTGTCTCCATCGCCACACTCTGCCATGTGCCACTTTCAGGTCTCCTCACACTGCTGGTGTGTTTCCATTTTTTGTCATAGGGTGCTGGCAGATTACGGGCCTCCCATAGCTGCTGCCAGGCCCCTAATCTGCCATGGGCCCCTATACCGCCTCCTCATGCTGCTGCCAGGTCCAGAGTCTCTCATGGGTCCCTGTACGGCCTCCCATTGCTGCTGTCTCCATCGCCACACTCTGCCATGTGCCACTTTTCTCCTCACACTGCTGGTGGGTTCCATTTTTTGTCATAGGGTGCTGGCAGATTACGGGCCTCCCATAGCTGCTGCCAGGCCCCTAATCTGCCATGGGCCCCCGTACCGACTCCTCATGCTGCTGCCAGGCCCGTAATCTGTCATGGGCCCCTGTTGTCGCTTGTTGGCATATTCCGCTCGTTCAGATGCTCCTTCTCCTGCTACTCCTCTTCACGGATTCTCCGTCAGCAGTCTTTCTTGGAATCCGTTTCCAAGAGACAACAGTTTGCGAGCACGCACCCGACGGTGCAGAAGCTGAACGTCCTCCTGTCCAAGTTGCTGCTGCCAGGCTCGTAATCTGTCATGCGCCCCTGTACCGCCCTCCTCATGCTGCTGCCAGGTCCAGAGTGTGTCATGGGCCCCCGTACCGACTCCTCATGCTGCTGCCAGGCCCGTAATCTGTCATGGGCCCCTGTACCGCCTCCCCATGCTGCTGTCATGGGTCCCTGTACGGCCTCCCATTGCTGCTGCCAGGCCCGTAATCTGCCATGGGCCCCCGTACCGACTCCTCATGCTGCTGCCAGGCCCGTAATCTGTCATGGGCCCCTGTACCGCCTCCTCATGCTGCTGCCAGGTCCAGAGTGTGTCATGGGTCCCTGTACGGCCTCCCATTGCTGCTGTCTCTATCGCCACACTCTGCCATGTGCCACTTTCAGGTCTCCTCACACTGCTGGTGGTTTCCATTTTTGTCATAGGGTGCTGTATGGCCTCCCATTGCTGCTGCCTCCACCGCCACACTGTGGCTCCACACTCTGGTTTTGGCCCCGTGACTGCCCAAATGAGTGAAGTGTGCGGTGATTCTAAGATCGACGGCACTCATCTGCATGTCATACTGACTGTCAGTATTATTTCTCTTCCCCAGCAGACTCCAAGGGCATTTAAATTAAAGGTACAGTGTTCTGCACTAATATTAAGTCTCTCTGAAGCCTAGAAACACCCTTTTTTTAAGTTAAATTCACAGCGAATATATTCGACTCGAATCGAAATTTTTCCACGAATTCGCCGAATCAGTCGAATCGAATTTTTGAATACTTCGCTCATCTCTAGTGATCACCATGATTGGCTGTCATGTTGATCAGGAACCATGCTTACATGGAGGTTGGTGGGAGGAAAATACTGAGCCCTGTGGAGGACACATGGAATCTAGACACTTCTGAAAGTGACTGCTTGTCAGTAGACCTTGGGGGACAGTTCTCTTCTTCATGAAAACAGTTCAGTGGCATGGGCAGCAGCGGGAGATGTAGCTATTTTACAGTCATACCTTCTTCTTTAAAGGTATCAAAAATTTACTTTAAAGGGATTATCTAGTGGTTTTGAATGTGTTTTCTGTATTTACTATGATTGTGCCAACATTTTTTTTTCATATATATATATAGTTGAAACCATTAAAATCTCCCCTTTAAACTAGAATGTCTTCCTAAAGCAGCAGATAGCTATGAGCCCCCACATTCTATTAAAGCAAAACTCCAGTTCCCCTAATAAATTTTTGTTAAAAAGCAGATCCACGTGACCTTTCAAATAGCATTAACAATTGGAATAATTCAATATTAAAAGCATTGTAATTACTTATTAATTCTTAAACATTTACCAGGATCTTGGAATCAGGCAGGCGCCATGATGGCTGTGGGCATCTGAAGCCAGTAGGTATTTATTTCCTGGAATCGTGCTGCTGGCTATCCCAGCATGCACCACTCGTTCTCGCGCATGCGCATGCGTGTACAGACACTGCTCGGCGCAACGTGTGCAGTACTGGTTGCCATAACAATGGTGGGGGCAGATGAAGTTCCCGCCCCCTGCCCCCCATCAGGCAACCTGTACAGCACTGTACTGCAAGGAAGGGAAGGAAAGTCTCTAAAGGGAACAATGCTTTTCAAGCATAGAGTACAGCAGGATACTGCATACACGTCTTCCTGTAAAATGACGCAAAACACCTCCAATTCGCGTCATTTCCGGTTTCCAAGTCCCACGATTACAGGAAACCAAAGGATGTCGTTTCTTGCATCCCAGGAGACCTAGCAAATCACCTCATGACGTCATCGCCTAGGCTGTCGGGGTACCGGAACTGCAGGCTTGCAGTGGATTAAAAGGTATGTATAATAAAAAAAAAATATCCAACTTGTTCTTTTTTCACAGGGACTACATAATAAGGTAAAGTATTAAAAATGGGTGGAACTCAGCTTTAGTTGTATGTCTCTAGCTTGCTCCTCTATCCACAGGAGGGGGCCCATATTATTCTTTATTTAAATATCTCTATTAATACACAGGTCTTATCAGAAGCAGAAACTGTCCATGGTCTCAGAAAGCAAAATCAACAGCAGCTTGCTCAAAGTGTCACTGAATATGGACAAGAGAAGTACAAAAGTGACGATGAATTAAAAACACAGAAAGATCAAGGTTTGATTTTATCCTGTTTTCCAAGAAAATCCTTTTCTTTAGTTTTCTCTTTCTGTTCCCTTCCTCCATTCTTCCTTTCTACTTTCCTATCTTTTTCCTTCATTCACTTTTTCTGTTATTCTATCCTCTCTTAATTCCTTCATTTCCTTCTTACTTTCTTCTTTTCTATCCCTTTACCTTCTTTTCCTTCTTCCTTTCCTCCCTTTTTTTACTACTTCCTTCCCTTCTTCCTTTCTATCATTTTTCCTTCCTCTAGCTCGTTCTTTTTTCTTTCTTTCTTTCTTTCTTATCTTTTATCCTTCTTTTTTTTCTCCCTTTAGTCTTTCCTCCCTTTAATCCTTCATTCCCCTCTTCCTTTCTTCTTTTCCTATCTTTTTTCCTTCCTTCCCTTCTTCCTTTCTTCTTTCCTTCCTTTTTTACTTTCTTCTCTTCTGAAATTCCTCCTTCCTCCCTTTTTTTTCTTCCTTCTCTTTTTTCCTTTCCTCCCTTTTCTACTTCATTTTTTCTTCCCTCCCTCTTTTATTTCCTTCCCTTTTCCCCTTTTCTTTCCATCTTTTTTCTTCCTTTCCTTCCTCCTTTCTTATTTCCTTACTTTTGTTACTTCATTCCTTTCTTCATTTTTCCTTCCCTCCCTTTTTACCTCCTTTTCTTTTTTTCCTCCCTTTTCTACTTCCTCCTCCTCTTCATTTCTTCTTCCCTCTTTGTTTTACTTCCTTCCTTTCTTCATTTCCTCTTTTCTCCTTTTTTTTCTCCCTTCCGTTGTTCCTTTCTTTCTTCTCCTCCTCTTTTTTTTTTTTACTTCCTTCCCGCCTTCATTTCTTCTTCCCTCCTTTTTTTACTTCCTTCCCGCCTTAATTTCTCCTTCCCTCCCTTTTTTCCTTCCTTCCTGCCTTCATTTCTTCTTCCCTCCATTTTTTACTTCTTTCTCTTCTTCATTTCTCCTTCCCTCCTTTTTTTTGCTTCTTTCCCTTCTTCCTTTCCTCCTTTTTTTTTACTTCCTTCCTGTCTTAATTTCTTCTTTCCTCTCTTTGTTACTTCCTTCCCTTCTTCTTTTCTTTTTTCCTCCTTTTTTACTTCCTTCCCTTATTCCTTTCTTCTTTCCTTTGGCCTTTGCAACAGAGTGAAACAACTGCATTTGTAGCCATGTAGCTTTGTCTCTTCATTGATCTGAACACAGGTGCATTGTTGCCTATAGGACAATACATACAGCTGTATAAAGATCCGTAATGTTACAATCATTTGAAGCTCTCATTTTGTACTGAGGATCTTTTTGTCAGCCTTTGTCAGCAAAATCCTGCGTATCACCATCAGCAAATGTTTATGTCCATGTGCAAGAGGCCCCTTTCCTTCCCTCACTTCTTCCTTTCTTCATCCCTTCCTTTTTTTTCTTTCCTTCCCCCTTACAGTTTCTTTTCCCTGCCCTTCTTCGCACTTTTCTCCTTCCTTTCTTCTTCTTCCTCTCCAAATGCAAAAGGTTATATGTTAATAATATTTTGATCATATAATGTAGATTCAATACAGGCAGAACAAGTAAATGAGAAAGAATTCAGCCTTTCCGGGCTAAAAGCCATTTTCCACCAATCAGACCCCACCAAAGACCTTCTGATATCCAATGGAAAGTCAGCAAGGGACATCCGCTCCTCCATTCAACAAATTCATTCAATTATAGAAGCCAAACGGGATCCAGCAACTCTGGTGAAACTTCCCGCGTCTAAGAGGCATTCCATGCAAAGCCAACTAGTTACCCTATTACCTCTACATGCTATAGACAAGGCTTATGAGAAGCAGAAGAAAAATATTAAACTAATACAAAAAAGACATTTGGTTGTTCAGATGCAGGCTGATAAAAAACAAGCAAAATATCGAAGTGATGAGTTTTTGGAGGCAAGAAAAAAACAAACCATAGCGCAAAGCCAGAGAGACGGTATGAAGCTAGAGCACAGCGCACAGTACAACCTCCTGGATAAAGCCAACTTTATCGATAATGTCAAATATAGACATAAACAGTTTCTTTATGAAAAGGAGGCCAGAAGATTAGAAAATGCATCAGCCAGAGAATTCAACTTCCAGCACACTTCTGTTACAAAAACATTAATGAGACACGATCGATTAATCAGGTCCCACGAAGAAGTGCAAAGGAAAATTAAATTTGTACAAGGTTTAAAAGAAGAACAGGAAAA